GGAACAAAACAGGGATGTCCACTGTCACCACTCTTGTTCAACACAGTTCTGAAAACACTAGCCAGGACACTTAGAGAAGAGAAAGAAATAAAAGGAATAAGGATAAGAAAGGAAGAAGTTAAATTATCATTATTGCAGATGACATGATACTCTACACAGAAGACTCCAAAAACTCCACCAAGGGCTGAGGATTTAGCTCAGTGGTTCTGCCTGCCTTGCAAGCATAAGTTCCCGAGTTCGATCTCCAGTACCAAAAACAAAAACAAAAACTTCACCAAAAGACTTCTAGATTTGACAATCAAATTCAGTGGCATAGCTGGATACAAAATCAACACTTAAAAATCAATGCCCTTCCTGTACTCAAATAACACTCATGGAGAGGGAAATTAGTGAAACAATCCCTTTCACAGTAGCATCCAAAAAATGAAATAACTAGGAATCAATCTAACAATGGAAGTAAAAGACCTCCACATTGGAAACTACAGTACTCTGAAAGAGGAGATTGATGAGGATATCAGAAAATGGAATGATATCCCTTCCCTTGTTCTTGCATATGAAGAACCAATACGGCCATACTTCCAAAATTATTATACAGATTTAATGCAATCCCAATCAAAATTCCAACATACCACACAATTGGGAAAAAACAATCCTAAAATTCATTTGGAACCAGAAGAAACCCAGGCTAGCAAAGGCAAGGCAGGGGGTGTCACAATCCCTGACTTTATACTGCAAAGCTACTGTGATAAAAAAACAAACAAACAAACAAAAGAACAGACCTGAGGATCAATGAAACAGATTAGAAGATACAGGGGCCGGGGATTTAGCTCAGTGGTTCGGTGGCCTACCTTGCAAGCGCAAGGACCCGAGTTCAATCCCCGGTACCAAAAAAAAAGAAGATGCAGAAACAACTGCAGACATACTCAGCCACCTCATCCTTGACAAAGGAGCCAAACACCTTCGCTGGAAGAAAGAAAGCCTCTTTAATAAATAGTGCTGGAAAAAGTGGCTTTCCATATTCCAAAGATTGAAACTAGATCCATATTTTTCACCACACACTAACCTAAAATTTAAATAGATCAGAGATCTAAATGTTAAAACGGAAACACTAAATCTACTGAAGAGACAATAGGTGGAATGCTTGAGGACATAGGTAGGTAAAGACTTCATGAACAAAACCCAGACTGCCCAGGAAATACTACAAAAAATCAACAACTGGGACCTCATCTTATTAAAAAGCTTTTGCACAGCAAGAGAAACCAACAGAGTGAAGAGACAACCCACAACATGGGAAAAAAATTTTACCAGCTATTCATCAGACAAAGGACTACTATCTAGAATATATAAAGAACTCAAAAATATAAGATCCCCCAAATTTAAAGACCCAATCCAAAAATGGGTATCTGAAAAGACATTTCTTAAAGAATTAGAAATGGCAAATAAATATATGAAAAAAAGTTCAGCATCACTAGTCATTCATGAAATGCAAATTAAAACAATGCTGAGATTGCATCTCACTCCAGAAAGAATGGCTGCTATCAAGAAATCAACCAATAATAAATGCTGGAGGGGATGTGGGAAATAAGGAACCCTTCTTCACTGCTGGTAGAAGTGTAGACTGGTTCAACCACTGTGGAAATCTGTGTGAAGACTTCTCAAAAAACTAAACCTAGAGGTTCCATTTGACCCAGCTATTCCTCTTTTGGTATCTTCCCAAAAAATTTAAAAGCATCAGACCACAGCGACATATGCACACACATGTTTATAGTGGCATAGCTTCTAGTAGCTAAATCCTGGAAACAGCCCAAATGCCTATCATCCAACAAATGGATAAAGAAGATTTTTTATACAGTGGAATACTACTCTGCCATAAAGAAGGAAAAGTTTGAGACATTCTTAGCTAAATTGATGCACCTTGAAACCATACTTTTAAGTGAAATAAATTGGACACATGTGTTTAAATAGCTCATTGTCTCTCTGGTGTGAGAAATCAAAAGAGTAAATAAAGACGAAAATGTATAACAGATATTAGGAAATGGGAAGAAAATGTCCAAATGGGAAGGAAGGAGAAAACAAGGGAGGTGGGAGGGAGAAAGAAAGGAAGGGACAAGGGAACAAAAGTGAAAATAGATGGGAAAAAATAAAAACAAAGGTTTTGTACATAGTGAAGGGAGGTAGCGTAAGGGGAGAGGGGAATGGGATAAAATAAAATTTATTTTAAAAAATTATTCCAAATAAAAGAGCTTATTTTATAAGGATAGTGATTCCAAAAGCAAACCAATACACTATGAGAAAGGTAACATTCCAATCAACCTAATACAGTTACAAAAACCCTAAACAAAATTTCAGATCTCAAAGCCCAATATACATAAAAGACCAAGCTTGATTTATTACAAAAATACAAGACAAGGTCAACATCAGAAAATCCAATGATATAACTTACAGCCCTCTAGAAATAATTTGGTATTCCTAGTAAATCTCAGAATGTTCTTGCTCTATGACCCAGCAATTCTGCACATGGGGACACTTCAGAAAGACTGCCCATGTGTATTAGCAGACTTACAAAAAGTTTGGTAGCAGCAACATCCACAAAGCTAAAAATACTAGGCACATCACAGAAGAATGGAAAATAAATTGTGGTATATTCCTACAACAGTATATCACACGATGATAAACATGAATGAACAATGATTAACTCTGGGGAAAAGGATGAGAATGAGGAAAAAATTAAATCCCAAAGAAGCACTCAGTAGATTTCAGGAATATTAATAAGATTCCATTTCCCAATCTGGGTGTTGAGTATATGTATTCTCTAAACTCTTGCTGCAATCCTTCTTATACACATCTTCTGATGCAGATAGGCATTTTGCTGCACACATTAACTAACAAGGATATTTCAACAATGTGCAAAACTCTGTAATGACAAAAATCTGATTCTTTCAACAGTTTAATAGCAAAGGAAAAAAAGGGTGAGGATAAACTACAGATTAGGACACATATTGACCAAGTGCAATGTATGGACCATATTTGGATCAAGAGGTAAATTAGCCAACTGCTAAAAACATATGACACTATCAGAGAAACTTGAACACTGAGTAAATAACGATGCAAAGGAATCATTTCTAGATGTGTTAATGGTTTCATGCTTTTAAAAAGACATCTGACATTTTAGAGATATATACAAATAATGAAGAAATTACAAATCAAGTATTTTGTGGAATTTGCAAAAAAACAAGAGAGGCATACAAAAGGAGATTAAGCTGGACTAAAGGATAGGAATCATGACACATGTGGGATTTATCACACTACTCTATTTTTGTATTCATTTGAATTTTACTGAAACAAAGTATAAAAAGAAAGAGAAAGAGAAGAGAAAAAGGCAGGAGAAAAGATCTCTAGAAAAACAAGTATGTATAAAAAATGCTCTGGCGAGTTACATTTTGAAACATTCAAATGGTTACCTCTGATCTAATGTGACCACAGGTTTTAGAAAACATTGCAAATTTATCATCTCCAAATGGCAAGATTACTTGTAATTTTTAATCTCTTTTTGCTTAGCTATGTTTTCTAATTGTTTCTACTAGAAACAAATCAGGACACAGATTCAAATGCTGTCGGAAAGGACATTATAAAGACTGCCAAAAATAAAAAGCCTCCCACCTAACATAGATAATGATGTGTAAATCCACATCTCTTACCCATTTCTGAGTTACAACTTGCAAAAGATTGCATTTTTGTACCCTCCCACATTTAAGTTGAAACCCTAATCCATAATGTAGTGTTACTGGAATCGGGGTCTGTGGGTTCTCAAAGTGGTGCCCTGTGATGGGATTAGTGCCTTTGTAAGAAGAAGCATGAGAAAGAACACTTTCTCTCTCTACCACGTGAGGACCCAGTGAGAAGCCAGGAAAGGACCCCTCAATAGAATTCAACCATGCTGGCACCCTGGTCTCAGACTTCCAGCCTCCAGAACTGTAAGAAATAAACTTCTGTCATTTAAGCCACCCGGACAAAGACACCGGCCCTTATCAGAATCTGTTGGGAGCTACTGTCTCTCACCAGAAAAATGCATGATCATATAGAATTTTTCATATAACAAGAAACTCTGAGACTCCTGATAAACCCATACATAGTCTTTCTATATTGTTAGTAGTTGTAACAAATAACAACAGCTGACATTTATCGCATATTTCCTATGTGGTAAGCACAGTTCTCAGTGTTTTACAAAAGCTGACTCATTTAATCCTCCCAGGAACCTATGAGACAGGCACTCTCATCACCCCTATTTTATAGATGACAGTGAAGAAGAGGAAAGGCATAATTTGCACAGGCTCCCACAGCTACTGAATTTCAAAGCCATCATACAAACTCAGGGGGCCTAGATCCAGAGTAGGGCTCTGACCCAGCAAAAATAACACTGCACAAAGCTTAAATCAAATATAACAAGCAAATATGACATCCTGAGTTGTGCTCTGTAGTACATGCTTTCAAATTCAACTAACGTTAGGTGCCTATCGTGCACTAAACCACTGAAGCAGCGCTTTGAGTGACTCGCTGTGTCTCCAGCTCACTTGGAGAAGCAGGAGTTGATCCTCTTCTGAACTCCAGCTCACTGTACCAGAGTTGATTCCCTTTAAATCACAGCAGTGTTCTGTTCCAAAACACACCTGATTTTATGACCAAATTTTTTTTAAATTAAGATGTGGAAGATCTAGTTCACGAGTTCAATTTGTAAATCCTAAAACTGGCCCATAGCTCAAAGCAATCCAGCATTTCAGGAGATCTCTCATCACTCTGTTTCAGTGAACTGACATACCTTAGAAGACATGCTTGCAAAAATCTGCACTTGATTTCATATGCCTGAACAAGATTCACGAAAGAGGATTGTACACATATACTGAAAGCCACTGCTAAGTGTTATAATACCACACTGCACTCACACATAACACAACCTGTCCAAATATGTTAAGCAAATTACACGCAAGTCCTCTAACACTCACAGTTTCACAGTTCAAGCATCGGGTTTCATTGGTGAGCGTTCCCTGAAAAATCTCATGGACCCAGGTGAGTTCTGGTTTATTATTCTCTGCAGGTTCATTCATGTTGCCATTTTTTAATTTTCCATTTTGCTTTTCCTGTTTCTTCTCTTCCTGCAGGATGTCCGCAATAGTGTTTAGCAAATAATTTAAAAACTCGTGAGCATCCTGCTGCATGTAGTTATCAAAGAGATCTGGAAAGGAGAAGGTCATTATTTCAATCTCTGATTCTTAAGAAGCAACCAGAAATGCTTAGTTTTATAGGCCGTGCTTCAGTTTTTTATAATGAAAGGGTGGACAAATATGGAATGTAAATAAATTCACCTCTACTATGCAGTTTCCATGGTAAGTTTCAAAAGCCTTCCATTTCCTATACCCATCAACTTCCTCTATCTCCCTATTGTCATGTATATAAAAATTGACTCAAATTTTTATTTGTACAAAAGAAATCTGAAAAGATTCTTGACAAAATATCAATATTTAATATTTGTTATTATTGATGACCAATTAATCACTGCATAATTTATCCAGAGCAACTGGAGTCTTCCCCAGAAATCATACTGAGCCCCAGGCCAAGCTGAAAGTATCTTTACTGAAACACGTAAGGGAGATGAGGAATATGTAGGAGCATGTGTCTATCGGGTAGCGTCCTGACACCAATTACGAACGATGCCAGAAACCTATTGCTGCTCCCTGCCACCAGGACAGTGGGGATGAGTGCAGCTGTGAAACCCTGTTATTAATCATATTCACAACTAGACTGGGAGTGCTCCACCTTCTTCTCTACTCGAATTACTTTTATTCTAGTATGTATAAACTACAGCAATTTTAAAAAGATAGCAATCAAACTAAACAAGACTACAAAACAAACATCTGATTAACCATACAAGTCTGTTGAAGTAAGGTGGAATGTGGGTAAAACACAAATTGCCACTTCAAATATTTCTAGTCAAAAAAAAATCCCAGCCCAAAACTTCTGGAATATACAACTTGTTTCTACCACCAGTCCCCCCACCCACCAAAAAAAAAAAAAAAATCAGTTGACAGCAGGATATTTTTATCATATAAAGATTATCAATTTGATAACCTTCAATCATCTTGGCAAATAAAATCAGAGGTATTATTTTTACAACAGTAGAGGATCTGATTAGGTAATGTGCACTTACTCTAATCACTCATGACAAGTTCAGAAGAAAGTACAATTTCATTCAATTATTAGATCAGCCTATCTAATCTGATGAATGTCCCACTGAGAAGGCTGCCTTGGGCAATTTTATTCCTTACAATGATCCTACCCAGAATAGAGTTAAAAAAAAAAATCATTCTAAAATGAGGTGCTACATCTGAATTTTAAAGCATAGTTCTAATCCACTTTTACTTAATGTATAATGGATAGAGAAAAACAAGTTGTTTTCTTTATGACACCTGAGTAGCTGACTACACTTATTTTCCTTCTTTATAAAATCTAAGCTTTTCAGGGGCTGGGGATTTAGCTCAGTGGTTCGTTGGCCTGCCTTGCAAGCGCAAGGACCAGAGTTCAATCCCCGGTACCAAAAAAAATAAAATAAATAAGCTCTTCATTTTGAGGATACACAAAAATGTCAGTTTTCCTTATTTTAGAGCCTTAAAACCATGACTCACCACTACTCACCATTCTCTTTTCTCAGCCTTGAAATGAACTTCTTTGGTGGGATGACGCCAACCTTCTTCTTCTGCGTGGCAATGCTATGGAAAAGGTCTGCGAGGCATGTCAGCAAGTTTTCTTTCTTTTTTTGCTGGGCCTTGTATGCCAACACATTCTCACGGAATGGCCGGCAGAAGTACAACGCCTGAAGCACGGAGTTGCAGTAGCACGTGTTCCCAAACTGCCAAAGGACAAGAGGTATGGCTCAGATCAAGGCCCTGGAAGAGGAGGGGAGAGGGAGAAGGCCAGGCTCCGCAAATCTACCCAGCTCACCACATCACAAAACTGATTACCTACTCTAAACACCAGTGACTACCTAACTAACAGGCACATGGATAAAGGCACAGAGTGCTCCCTCCTTATCTGTGGTTTCAATTGCCACGCTTTTAGTTATCTGTAGTCAACCACAGCCTGAAAATGTTCAATGAAAAATTATAGAAACAAACAATTCCTAAGTTTTTGACTGTGTCCCACTCTGAGTAGTGTGATGAAATCTCACACCATCCTGCCTGGGATGTGCATCATACCATCATCCAACAGATCTACACTATATATGCTACTGCTCCACTAGTCACTCAGTAGCCATCTCCGTTATTGGACCACCACAGTCAGTGTCTCGGGGCTTATGTTCAAGGAACTCTTATTTTACTTAATAATGGCCTTGTAGTGATACTGATCATTGTATTACAATAAATTGTTTAAATTGATCTACTTTATAACATATGTTATTTTTGTTAATCTCTTATTGTGCCTAACATAAATTAAACTTTATCATATATGTGTATGTATAGGAAAAAACAAACAAAAATATATATAAATATATATATTTATATATTTCATTACTATCCATGGTTTTAAGAGTCTACTGGGGATCCTGAAACGTATCCCCCACAGGTAAAGGAAGCCTACTGTACACAATTCTCTAACCCACACAAGTCTCTATAAAATGACAATAAGCATTCTGTCTAGATAAAGCATCTAATGACACCTGGTGCTTAGAAAAAGAAAAGAGAGAGCAAAAAAAAATCTACATAATTTGAAGACCCAGTAGTTAGCTGACTAAAGAAAAGATCTGAAATTGCAGCACATCAAAACTTCTATGAGACAAACTAAAACTCCAAATCAGAAAGAAACTGAGGAAAGAGGAGCCACTTGCACAGCTGAATCAACTTTAACCAAATGGGGGCTTCTGTTTTTCTCTTTCAACATTCTAGTGTCCCTGCCTATTGGCAGACCAGATGTCTCCTACTCCACAGAAACAAGGTAAAGATGTCCTCAAGCCACCCTCCCAGCTTCCCACCTCTTACCTTCTAAATTACCCCCCCCATTTCTTCCAAGGTAGCAATTGTCCCAATCCAGTATGTCCCAAGTTCCTGGCTCCTACAATCAGATTAGAGTCCACACAATAATATTTTACATCTCTCAAAATCATGGACTTTAAGATTATGATTACAGAAGGGAAAGTCATCATCCCACTAGGGTCCAAGCGACTGTTAAAACCAACTCTGTGGGAGAACATAGCTGAAACCATCACTTTAGAATTGTTCCTACACAGTTTAACAAACAAGAACACATCCTAAGGAAATAACAAGATCCACAGCACAGACTACCAAGTGCTCAGGACAATTAAAATAGAACATGGACACATGCTCAGAACTGGGTACTGGCTTGTGTGGCTACCCAAGAGTAAGATAGATGCTTTTCCACACTTAACAAGCCATGTCTACACATGCTGAGCCAGAAATTTTCCTATTTTTATATATTATAATCTGATACAATTATGTAAGAGGAGACAAACCTTTTTCCAGAGAAGCTGGAACTTTCATAAACTGTCACTGTAAGGATCATAAATTAAACTCTTAATAAATGTATATCTCACAATTCTTTCACAAACTAAAAAATGGTCTTAACTGTTTTTCTCCACAGTCTGCATCTGTATTTTCCTTGGCCAGGGCAGAACTCCCATGACTTGAATAACTGTCTTAAGAGAGCTAAGCAGAGGCCTGTGCTCCATGGCATTAAAAGTAGAACTCAGTATTTTGCCAATGTAATCTCCTTATTCCAGTACTTTATTTAGCCTTTCTCCTACCATTCTTCTCTCTTCTATACTCAGTGTCTCACTTCTACCTAGATAACTTTCAGTAGTGCTTGGCCCTGACCCTGACCCAGTGAACAATTCCTAGGAAAGGAAAGGAACTAACATGTACCAAGTGTCCACAACATGCCTCAGCTTCACACTGGCGTCTTACAAAGAGCTTCCGTCCATTTTTCACTATTACGGTGGAGCAATGACAGCAAACCGAAGGCACACATGCCGCAGCCAGCTGTTATCACCGAAGCTTTAGAAGGTTCACCATCACTGCCCTTGAGGGTAGAAACCATCATAATCCCATTTTACAGATGGCAAACTGAAAGCTCAGAGAGGGAAGGTAACTTGCCCCAGAACATACAGCTAGTATTACACCATAAGCAGAATTCATGCAGGTCTATATGGCACTGCAGCGGATGCTCTTTCTATTATCTCCCAGGCTGCAATTACCTACAGAGGATTTCTAGCTTCTCCTGCTACTTATCATGCCAGGACACTGACTGACTATGTGCAGAGCAATTGTTCCAGGAAGCCATTTGTTTGTAAGTAACACTTGATAGCTTATTTATAAATAAGACAGAAAGCATCAGGTAAGAAAGAAAGCTCATGAAGGGTGCCTAATACTGCTTTACTAGCTGGTTATCATCAACTACCAAGGAAGAAGGACCTAAAAGCCTAGCCAGATACAAGGGGACTTTGCTGAGCACAAGTAAAATGAGGCTATATAATTCTGAGATAAATTGGTCCCAGCTTTTCTCCCACAGCCTCCCCTATTTCAGGTAGGTACCCTACCAAGTTATGCTGATGATGCTGTGGTAACACTTTTAAAACTCTGTTAGTACTAATGCTCACTGAGACAAGAGACTGACTGAAAAGTTCACCCAGATAACAGAAGGAGGACACACAAAAGCAATTTGGCTAAAAAAGCTAATAAAATTACTATGAAAGTTATGTACGCAAAAGAAAACCCTCAAAGCATGGAGAGGCAAAGATGTAAATTTGAACCAATAATGTAGCAATTAAATTATTTTCTTCTGGGACAACTAATCCTTTCAAAAATAGATTAAAATGCTCTGTCTCCAACATTTTCTTCTTCTAATTAAAGCATATGAGCAGTTTAAAAATTGATAATGATGAAAAAGGCAGTGGAGTCACATCAAATACTCTAAAATATTTGATAAAAATAGTGCATTTTAAATACTTACATTGACCAATCCAAAGTAGTGTTCATTGATCGGAAACTGCTCTGGACCAATGTCTTTTTCCAGAGCAGAGGCATTGGTGCCCTAAAAGAGATAAATAACAGAAGTTCTACTACATGTAAAATTGACAAGAAAGTAAAAGCACATGTAAGCTGTTCACTACTGAGACAAACATCTACTCTGGTTGACAAGGTGTTTGGGGATATTTATGCTGAAAGGAAAAGCATGACAAGTAAATCAGAGGATTAGTTAATAATCTCACCCTCATTTTCCTCTCATCCAACTTACTCCACTCCTCAACCTGTTTATATGGGTTCAATTACCTTCCATTAGGAAAGGAGGCTTGAGAGAGGCAAATGAGCAAACTATCGCCAAGAACTTCTGAATAAAACATCAGCACCATAGATGAGCAGCTTCAGAAAACAAGGCACAGAGCAATTTATTATCTTTTTCAAAGTCAATTTGTTCATTCTAGTAAGGATTTATTGAGTACCCAATGAGCCAGACTCTAGGCTCTAGGTCCAGGCATTGATAAGAGAACAGGGAACAAAAAAGACATGGATGCCTGCTTCTGTGAAGTTCCCATTTTATATATGAAGACAGCCTGGAAGACGAAGCAAATACTGAACAGTATATTAGGAGGTAATAAGTACAACAGAGAAAAACAGAACAGGAAACAGGGATGGAGACAGGAGAAGTATGTGTGGAGGAGAGACTTACAGATGGTGCAGGGGATAGCGAAGCCTTTAGGAAACCTATCGAGAAAGGAAGGCCCTACTGTTCAAAAGGAATATGATGAGTAATGGACAAAGCTCTCAGATGCATCAAACTAGTAAGCCAGCCACAAGGCAGTCCAACATGATAATTTTAACAGCTACTGGATACTCTTGCTGTATGTGCTAGGGATGGAGCTGTTTATCATCACAACTATACTATGAAATAAGTACTATTATGATTCTCATTTACAGACAAGGAACTTAAGTCTTACCAGGGTTGAAAAATCTGTCCTAGTTCACAGTCAGTAAGGGATAGAGCTAAGAGCTGAACACAGGAATCAGACTAAGAACCCACAATTTTAATCAAATGCTATTCAGAACAATCTTAACCACTAAACTGTTGACTGAGCCCCGCCAAGGACCAGTAACCAGTGATGGATTTTCATTATTACCCTAGGCCTGAATAAATCTTCTGGGATTAGGAAGAGTACTGAAATTCAGTATAATAAGGTAGGTGATAGTCAAACCTCATTATCCACAGGGGAACTGATTTCAGGATCCCTCTGGAGATTTTCAAGTCCCTCTTATAAAATGTGTGGTGTTTGCATGTACCCTACCTTGTTAGTCAACTTTCCATATATACTAGTACAAAATACCTGAGATAAATAGTTCATAAATGAAAGAGTGAAGATTTATTTTGGCTTGTGGTTTCTATCCATGGTCCCTCGGCCCCATTGTTTGGGACCTAAGGCAAAACAAATCATCATGGCTGGGATGGGTGGTGAAGGAAACCACTCATCTCCTCACAGCAGGCAGGAAGCAGAGAGAGAGGAGAAGGGTCCTAATATTCCTTGTAAGAACACGCTCCCTGTGACCCATTTCCTTCCACCAGACCCCACCTCTAGCACCGTGAGCTAAGGACTGAGCCTTAGCACATGAGCCTTTGGGGGACACTTAAGATCCAAATCATAGCACCTACATACATGCTGCTGTATACTTCAAATCACTAAATACAACGTAAATGCCGTGCAGTTGTTAAACCACACTGTTTAGAGAATAGCAAGAGGTCTGTACATGTTCAGTACAGACTCAATTTTCTTAGTAGTTTTTACCTGTGGTTGACTGATATGTGCATGCAGAACTTGTGAGTACAGTAGGCTAACAGGAGTGTGAGAGAGGGTAGGGTCAGAACCACTGCTACTGTGGCTCTGCTATCACACATGCTCAGCCGATCATAGAAGAGTTGTAGCTCAAAGAAACTCAAAACATTTGGGACAGATATAAAGTAAAAGAGACATCTTTCCTAAGAAATAATCTGCTGCTACTACTTATTCTTGACTCATAATTCTTGACTCATAATCTCTCTCTCATAGGAAGAAATGGCCAAACAGTAGGGTGACTACAAGTCAAAATAGTCACTTGTCATCAAGCAAACAGCACATGCAAAATAACCCAAATCTAAGCAAATAGAACAACAACAGAAATGATAATAAATCTTTTTATCATAACATCTTTTGTTTCCACTTGTGTTATGCTTCAAATCTAAAATGGTCAAAGCCTCACATGTTTGGAAGGTGACTGGATTATGGGGACGCTACCGCTGACCCGCTGTTGGGAGATGGGGTCTGGTCAGAAGAGGAGAGTCACTGGGGGCGTGATCTACAATGGTCTATCTCCTTCCTGACTCACCAAGAGGTGAGCAGCTTTCCTCTGCCCAGGCCCTTCTGCCTTGATGCTTCAGTCAACCATGAACTGAAACCTCTATAAACTGTGAGCTAAAACACACCACCTCTCTTCCTGTAGTTACAAGTATAGGGTATTGGATCTCAGGGATGAGAAAGTGACCAAGACAACTTGTTTTCTAGATCTCTTATACCATCCCACTAGTTCAAATTCCTCTGCCTGTCTTCTGAAGAGTTTCAGTATGTTGGGGCAGGTGGGGACAGGAGGTCATTGCCTTCACAATACTGTAACTCCATTTACAAGGCTGAATTTTTGAAATAACACAACAAATTATGGCAGGGTTTATAGTACAGGCAAAAATACTATAAATTTTCAATAAAGTCACATCTCAATAATAAATCATAAATGATGGGAATTTAAAATGGCCATAGCCATTTTTCAAGCAAAATTAGAATGTATGGCTCAGAGCCCAGGAAAAATGTTAAATATAAAATACAGCACATGGACATAGATCTTATTAAATCTCTCCTTATGAAAAAAAAGCAACACATTCAAGTGGATCCATGATTTTTGCTAGCTGGAAAGTCTTAGATTGAGTGTGCTCTTCTGTCCCTATCTTATTACTTTCCCCTTTGCAGAGAGGGAGCCTGGAGAAGAAAGGTGCACAGCCACCCTGAGAACAGACTTAGGGGCAGCACCCACTTCAACTTCAGCAGGATACTGGGAGCAGCATCTCACAGCATGGCCCAAGGCAAGGCCAAAGTGAGTGAACTATGTCCTTTGTGAAACCTGGCTTTTCCCTAAGGTCAATACTTGCTCTCGCCACACTTAAGGTCAAGCGTGCACATTCTCTTGCACAACACATATGACAGTCTGGAAAGGTCAGAAGAGAAGCTGGCTGAGCCTGATTTGTGATGCTGCTTCACCTTCTCATCAATATATCCCCTTTCTGAGGCCCATGGCTCCCACCATTACACAGGATCCGTCCTTTCTTCTCACCTTGGCTCAGCTTCCATTCCACTCCTGCCAAAATCCTAAATGGTTTCAGCATCCATGTGGATGAGCCATCTCACAACCTGCTCTCTCAGTGACTTGATGTCCTGTGTCCCAAGATTCTTTTATTCTACTCCACGAGGCACCTCTCTCAAAGATATATCCTCGATCACACTGCCGCTTGAAATTCTCAAGTTCACCTACCCACCATCCACCCAAGCACAGCCTTACCCACATCCCATCCTAGTCACACACCTCATGGGAACTTTACTCTGTAGAGGATGATTTCTAGGTCTCCCCCTTACCCTTTCCTTTAGCCATAACATCAGGCCAAAAAAGTGTTTTTAAAGGATGAACTAAATTATCTACCTCTTTTGAACATATAACCACAACCAAATGTGCACAGTAGAAAGAAAAAATTCAAACCACCACTGACTAGATTCTCTGGAATTCATCCAATTCCAGTGGCCCTCAACAAGATCCCACAGTTTAACACCACTCTAATGGTTTCACACACCACTCCATAATGACCATTTCCAACTTTCCCCAAAGTGCCTCAGAACTTCAGCATCCCCTCTATTCCTCTTGCTCTACCTTTCCCCTTGAAGAAAAGAAAAAAAAAAAAAAAAAAAAAAAAAAAAGGGCTTTTTAACCAGCAGACTGATTCCTTTAACTTGCTACTCACAAACCTACATGCTTCTCTCTTGTTAATGATGAGATGTCTCTCTTGCCCAAGGATCTCTTTTCCTATCAGATCCATCTCATCAGAATTTAAACTTCTACCAGCATCTCCACATTAGAAACACACACTCCTCCATACACTTCCCCATTACGACCTCATTCTCACTTCTTTGGAGCTTAACTTTCTAAAATAGCTATCTCCGCTGAAATATTCACTGGATAAATCAGGTGACTGCTAAGGTTTGTAAGGTGGGACAAGAGAGGGAGATAAAATTTTGTTGTTGAAGCTGAGCAGTGGGGGAGGAGCTCACTATACTCTTCTGTTTATACTTTTACACACAGTCATGCATCATTTAACCATAGGAACACATTCTGAGAAACATGTCATTAGGTGAGTTATTGTGTGACTATCATGGAGCATGCTGTACAGCACACCTAGGTTAAATGGTATACTGAACATCCTATAGCTCTTAGGGCCACAATGAACAATCTCAGATTATCAAACGATGCAATTAAGACACATGCAGTAATCCCAGCACTTGGGAGATGGAGACAGGAGGACAGCCAAGAGTTTGAGGCCTGCCCGGACTACATAATGAGTTCAAGGCCAGCCTGAACTACATAGAGAGACCCTGTCTCCAAAAAAAAAAAAAAAAAAAAAAAAAAAAGAGACACATACAGTAAACATGAGCTGTACAAGGCTGTTCCCAGAGCAACAGCATAGTGTTTAACAGTAAACCGTTTATATAAGTAGAAGAAATATACCCTAAAATAAAAACTATAATGGAATATAGAAACTAGTAACTTATGTATTACCATCACCAGGTATTTGGTACTATAAATAATTAGATGGGCTATACTTTCATATAACTGGCAGGTCTGTTTCCACCAGCATCACCAAATCTATGTTCTCAGCTCCACTACAATCGTAGGGAACCACTGTCACACACAAGGCCCACCACTGACCAAAAGCATTATTAGGCATCACATGATTGTATGTACATAGGCAGA